ATTGGGAAGCTATGTTAAGCTTCGTCTTGAACAAGGATTGAAGTCCAAGACATAAGCGGCCAATCAGGTTCAAATGTATGTAAGCGGGAAAGACGCTGATTGGTCCTTATGCGCTCAACCTGATAGGTTGATATCTGTATAGTAGGTGTGGCTACATTAGCCCGGAATGTTTAAATACCGAGCAGCTGCAATGGAAAAGCTGTTCGGGCTATCAGAAGAGTTGTACCGTGTTAGAGAAGTGATCATCGAGCTGAATAAACCTGAGTTTTGCTGAAATCACTCTGACTATTTTGTTAAGCATCGGACTTAACAATCTCCTTCCCAGCCAATCATCAACCTACCTTTATATCCCCCTCACTCTTCAGCTTTCCACCCCCCACACACCTGCAGCCTCTCCCGTGCTCTGAAGCCTTGACTGCTACATCACATTGGCTGTCATACGGGGACCACCTCAGCAGCATATAAGGATACAGAGCCCACCATTTTCTCCAGGGGAACTGATCTCTGCCATCTGGAAAGCAGTTGTAATTCTGAGTGATCTCCAGCCCTCACCTGGAGATTGGACACATTTTACCTCAGAACAGCAAACTGTTTAGAATGTTAGAGGCAAAAGCCAATCAAGTCGCATATGCAAACGACCTCTGTGTTCCGAGGCAAAGGCCAATGAGGCTGCATATGCAAATAACCTCTGTGTTCTGACTGGCTATGCGGGGGAGAGGAACACCAAACTGTTTAGAATGTTGGAGGTGAGACTGAAGCAATGCCAGCAGTGGATAGGGACAGATTCTGAATGACACACCAGGACGCCGACCAATTCCGGAGCGTGTGGAATGTTCTAGAGAAGTGCCACCACCATTCGGCTTTTATATATAAGGGAGATGACAGAAAACGACACGAAAACATGAGAGCAAAAAACTCTCTTTTAAAACTTTCCGGGCTTGTATAACCACGCCCACTAGTGTGTTAAGAACCAGTCATAACGATTACATAAAGACCAATGATTTCAGTTCCCTCCGGAACCTTTCTTATGCTCTGATTGGTCTACTGCGCAGAGTAGCCAATCAGAACGTGCATTTCACGATACCAGCCTTAGATAGGGATAAGATTCAAGCTCAGGCATTGTTGTATATATGCATAATACTTAACAGAATTATATAAATTTTGTAAAGAAAAGATAGTCTTCTGTGTGATCCCTTGCACCAGTTTCAAAGGTGATAGTCTCACTGGCCCCCAAAAGAGTATATATGTATTTTTTTAAATGCAGGCATCAAAATCATTGTTTACACTTGAATTACCAATAAATGTGTACAGTTTCACTGTTTATGGGTCCATTAAATATTCCCACTTTCCTTGTTTTTAGCATAATTGTATCATGATGAAACTCAGGAGGTGGTCCAAGTCCAGATGTATCTAGACAGCCAGCATTTTTTTTTAAAGCTCTTCAATAATGGCTTTTAGGGTTATCCAAATGTGAAGAACATTCCTTTGACACAATACTAGAAGCTGGTCCCATAGATGCTAAATCATGATAAGCACCCTGGCTACTCCACTAATAAATAGACAGGGATTAATAACTGCCTTTATAAAAAAATTTCTGCAGTATCAGGCATAGTCTTGAAAATGGACATGCTTCTTGCTTTAAATCTGGAGCTAACAGATGTTGCCATTTTAAAAGATATAGCTCCCTCTAGTAATATCCTGCTAAAATTATGTTTGATAAAAGGCCTGCTGCTCATAAAAAAACTGCTCTTGGCTTCAGAGAATCTTAGGGGGGAAAATAGCAAGGATTTTAAAACTTGCACATTTGGGAGTTTCAGTTATGCACAGTGGACACGTTGCTAGTTCCCTTTGTTCAGGAAGCAATACGTCCCTGTCCCCACCCCTGGTGAGTGCCTTGAACAATATATGTCTGCTAGTTATAGTGGATGTAAGTAGCTGGATTTCTTCCAGGTTTGAAACCTGGGGATTACTGAAGGGGAAAAGCATCCAAGAATAGGATGGGGTATGAGGAGAGAATCAGTAGGTGGGGGAAATGTTAGTATCTCTCCACAGTATCTCTTCTGCAAATGCTCCTTCCCAGTTAGCATGGCGTGACTTGCACTTCTCTCTTCGTATTTTTTTTTTGTGAAGAAGCAAAATAACTGCCAGATTGAAGTATTGGAACAGTAATCAAGTCATTTTTCATCCCAGTGCTCTTCTGCAGCCAATTATGCCTTTAAATGGGTCAGTGTTTTTGTAACTGTTGTGTACTGCCTCTTTAAGAGGCTATCCCAGTAGGCCTCAGAACAAGAAGGAGAGTAGGAGGGACTCAGTGCTTCTCAGTCTCCTTGCCAGCAGCCTACAGGAGTGGGGGCCTACTAAGAATCTGCAGAACCAGGCCAGGACACCTCTGCCTAGAGCTCTAGAAACAGCTTAGTTAAATGTTGTTATTCCTTATTCTGACAGCCAAGTTAGCTGCTCTACAGTTACTGTTAATAAAGAGGCCTTCAGCCAAATGGAGCTTGGGGTTTGTTGTTTGATCCACTACACAAAAGTACCCCAGTTGGAAGATTCATTGCTTCATGTTTTTCAATGTGATGAAGATTTGGGGTTGTGTGTTTGTGGTTTAAATGTATTTATTTATTTATTTTTTCTGTTTGTATCCCGCCTTGCTGGACATGCTGGCTCATTAATATTATTCAATTTATTAAAATTATTCAATTTATTAAAACAATTATATACAAAGATTTAAAATATAGTCACTCTGATTCTGTAGGTAAAAACACAGTTCTGAATTATTTGAATTAAGTCCAGGTATCTGTTCTAATAATTGATAAAGAGTTCTAGATGTCTTTTCCAACAATTTGTGTATAAAGTCCTTGGATTGAATCAGAATCAGTTTTATATCCTGAACAGGCCAGTTTCAGAAGAGGGGTGCTTCAGCATTCATGGATCTCAGAGCTGCATTTGATTCAGTCAGAGACATTGACTTTGGTCCAAGATGGCCAAAACTACAATAGATAAAAGACTCCTTTGGCTAACTTCTAAACTATATGAGAATCCTACAGCTGAAATTCAGTGCAGTCTTGAAGGCCAATTGTTGGGTACTATTTCTCTTTTCTAAGGGTGTTAAACACGGTTTCCTTTTATCTGCTCTACTTGTTAACCTTTTTGTGAATGATATGATTCCTTATCTTCAGAATTTGGGGAGTCATGCACCAGTTCTAGCCAACCGTGATTTCCCAGTTCTCCTTTATGCAGATAATACTTTGCTGTTATTAAGAACAGAAGCTGGACTTTGGAAAGTACTGATAATATCTATTAATTATTGTAGTTTGGAGGGGTTATCAGTTAATTAGCTGGACTACCATCTTGTGTTGCAGGAACTGCTCTAAGAATGGAATTTATTCAACACTTTCTGGAATCTAGGGCTTGACTTTGTGTTTTTAATTTGAGACTAAAATCCCTTTTTACAGTTTCAAACTCCTTTTTCGTCTTCTGAGGGGACATACTTACAAAAGTGTCTTGGTAAAGTTAACGGGATAGCAGATATGAGTGTCTTGGTCTTTCCCTTCCAGTGTTCTAAAATATGGGCTACTACAAAGCATTGAGAGAGGTCAAAAAGAGGGTAATCAAACTTGATAGAATTAGTATGGAATTTTGAGCTCACTGTGTGCACTCATCTCTAGCCCTTGGAATCTCCCCCCTCAAAATTCTCCATCCATATTTTAAATATCTTACTTTTCCTAGTAATCACCATGCATTAATGCTAAGTAGACTAAATACTTAGCCCACAGCCAAACTGAAGGGGTGATTTGGTAATATTCCATTCTCTGGACATGTCTGTCATTGTACCTCTGGCATGATTGAGTTCATTGATCACGTTTTATTTTTCTGTGACCAATGGTCCTCATTGCGAGAACTTTGGATTTCCCCCATTTTGATCAAATATCAATTTGCCATTGAATTGCAGGTGGTTTCTTTTGACTGGCTGACACTAGTCCTGCTTGTATATTATAATACCTTTGAGATCCTCTTCTGCCGTGTGACCATCTTGTAATTTTACTAATGGCATTATTTTCTTTCATCATCATTCTGTGCTGTTGATATTTGTATTGTGATTTCATTGTATGGCTCAAGACCTCTGGTCAAAGGAGCTTATTATTAATAAAGAAAAAGAATAAAGCCCGTTTTTGCATGAATGAAGCTAAAGAGACCCCCCCCCCCCGGTGTATAAATCTTGTCAGTATATTCATCCATCTCTGCAACTTCTGGTGCCTTATGAAGCCATTCCTGTGTTTTTGGAACAGAGGAGTTCTTCCAGTGTTTAGCTCAGACTATTCTAGCTGCTGCTGCTGCTGCTGCTACTGCTGCTCCTAAGAGATTTGATATTGGAGACCTTTTGAGTTCTTATATTTTCCACAGTGCTTTTCCGTTGAAATGGATCCTTGAGAATATTGCACACTGTAGGCAATAATGAGTCATTTGAAATTGTATTTTCACAAGTGTGTTTTACATACTTGTGCTTTTCCTACTTCTTTTTTTCTTTTCTTTGATCCCCAAAAAGAAAAGAAAAAGGAAAAAAATATAATAAGTCAGTGCTGCTTCTGAAAGGAGTAGCAGAGTCTAGCTGGGCAAAGCAGATGGAGGGGGGGGGGGGGGCAGAGCAGCCAGCCCAGTTTAACTTTCTCTTTCTGGAAGACCTAGAAAGTAGAATACAAAGCTAAGTGCTGGTGGGTTGCTGCTGAAGTAGGTGGGTTCAATGCTTGTTCTGTGCATGCTCTGCTGTCTCAGGACAGTACAGTGTATTGGTTGAAGGGTTACACTTCATCATCACAGGGCTGTTGACTTGTTTTATGAGGATGAATTACAGCAAATCGCTTTAGGTGGAAATGCTGTCACAATAAGTATGGATACAATAATAATAATGACAGGCATTGTGCTGCTTATCAGCTCTTCAAGCTTTCATTGTGGTGACATCGGTTTGGCTGGTTATGTGTGAATCTCATTCTGTATTTTAGGGAAGAAACACAAAGCTGAATTTCAGCTGTTAATTGACCAAATGAATAAGCGGAAGAAAAAAGCAAATAAAATCAAAACAGAAGAGGAAGAACCACAGCAGAAAGAAGCGGCAGCTGAAAACCCACCTTTAGAGATCGGTATGCATTGTTCATTATTCCCAATTGATGCGTATAATTTTGTTGGTAAAAATGAAGGTGAAACACCTCAGTTTCCATTTCCTAAAGTGTTATACCCTTGGAAGTCTGTTGATGTTAGTGAGCTTAGAAGGGTGTGGGCTCTTTTTGTAGCAGGTACTCATTTGCATATTAAGCGACACACCCCTAATGTAGCCAATCCTCCAAGAGCTTACAGTAGCTCCTGTAAGAAGAGCTCTGTAAGCTCTTGGAGGATTGGCTACATTAGGGGTGTGTGGCCTAATATGCAAAGGAGTTCCTGCTACAAAAAGAGCCCTAAGACGTGTAACTGTGCTCAGAGTGTCACTTCTAGGCCAATTTTCACCACGTATGTCTAAGATGGACTGGATCTGTAAGGTAGGTAGCCTTTGATTAATTGAAACCGAAGTCATTAGGGTAGTGTGTACATGAGTTTCCTCCCATAGAATTATCTACCATTAATGATGATTCATGAGAATCCTCTTTCCTTCTAATGTTATGTGTAACACTTGCTCAAAGCAGGCAATTTTACTGGAACTTGAGTGGGACAAGCACTTTTGCTTTCAGGTTGCTTCACCTGAATAGATCCTGAAATATTTAGTACATGAAGGATTTAAGCCTAAGGCCTGGACAGTACTCTTCCTTATAGCCCTATTAATTTGTGTTTCCAGCACTTAGTCCAAGCGGACTTTCCTAAAGACTCCTTCAGACTTTGTGACAGCTGGTGATCTTTATGTGCTGTGGAGAAGCAGGTGGACATTAATACACATTGAGTCTTTACTTCTTATTATGATTATTCACTGTTTGTACCTTTCTATCATCAAATTTTGAAACAGCAAGTACAGTTGCTTGTATGAGTAGCCTCTCCCCCATTGTATATAGCAAAATATAAACCAAACAAAGCTATCATAATCAGTTATTTTACCCCCAATAATTGTTTTGGCTCCTATAGATTCAGTGCCATAAGTTTCAGTTTTTGAACAGTAGAAAACCTTAATACTTCTCCTTTCTCACAAAATAGTCAAATTAATTCCAGCTTCTGGTCTTTGTGCTGCATGTTTCTTGGCTAGCATGTTTCTTGGCCAATTCCTTATTATAACCAACAACATATGTCTCATAATCCTACACTGCCCATGTCATAGTTAAATCATAGCACAGAAATCTGAATTTGTATACGTTTCTAATAAGCAGGCTGACGCAACACTTAATTTCTCTGCACCTGGACTGAGAAGCAAATCCTTGCTTTGGAAGGGAAAGCAGAGTCAACACAATAACTGAAGAAGGAGTGACATGATTCGAGGAATCCAGGAAGCATTGCACAGAATTCTGATTACATTTTTCTCATGGTTGAAAATGAACACAGCCCACTGCTGTTGGGTGAACCTAAGCGTGACTTAAAAAACGGAGTTATTTTGCCAAAAACGTGCCTATTTTCTGAGCCCAGTTCCAAACTGTGGATACCCCATGAAAATCCCAGTGAGATCATAGATTTTGTAAAACATTCTTTCCATTTGTCCTCCCTTGCCATCTTGAGTGCTGCTCTTTCCTGGTATATGTTGTTATCATGATGCCTAATACTGTAGTGGGAGGCAGTGTGTGTGTTAAGTGCTGTCCAGATGGAAGAGTAGGGTGGAGGTAATTCTTTTCAGCTGGGATTACAGTCTGAGCTGCAGAAGAACTTTGAAGACTGTAGAATCTAGGAATTATGAATTTAAGCAACAGCACCTCTAGAGCTCATTGGACAGGCATGTGCATTTTCTCTTTCTGTGTCCAGTGCTTTCATCTAGTTCTTCTGGATACCATTTCCACATATGGAAAAAACTATCTTAGTTCTGAGTATCAATAGGTCTCAGGGCTGTGGCTCAGTGCTCTGTATGCAGGCGGTCCCAGTTCCAATTCCCAGCATCTCCAGTTAAAAAGGATTAGATAGCCAGTGATACGAAGGACCTCTACCTGAAACCTTGGGGAGTCACTATCAGTCGGAGTAGGCAGTATACTGACCATGATAGATCAGTAGTCTGATGTAGTATAGAGCAGCTTCACAGATTTAAAAAAGGTAGCTATTTTTCAGCCTATGTTTTAGTTAGGCAGGATTTTGACTGCATCTCTGGAGAATTTTGTCCTTTGATGCTGCTAATCAGCTTCACTTAAGTCATCTAAATCTCAGTGCTTCTCAAGTTAACAAGATTGCTTTTCTGACCTGTCAGTGGCTCTTGACCTGTTTCCTTTACCAAAGCTTTCATGAATAAAAAATAAATGAAAATACCAGAATGCTTTTTGAATCCCATTGTTGACATCTTGCACAGCTCTTGATGCCAAAGCAAGCTTGAATTGTGTCCAAGAGTAAAAGGTATTGCCTTCAGCTCATCTTGCAATGGTTATCTCCCTTTGTCATTTTAGAAATTTTATTTGGTGGAAGAGTTCCTGACTTCCTCAGTATCCATTTCATTTTAATTTATAATACATAGATTTTCTGGGTTTATTGAACTGTTTATCAGCACTTTAGGAATACAGCAGGATTATTTTACACTAGTGATCTGCACTATCAAAAATGCATTCAAAGTGTGACAAGTTTCTTTTGGTAATTCTTTTAACATTGTCTCTTAGAGCCAAACTATTTTCTGCTCAATAGATCAGTTTTGGATCGTCATTGAAATGGGGCCTGGTCATAGAATCATAGAATGTTAGAGTTGGAAGGGACCTTGCAGGAGTTGGAAGGGAGCCTGCTTCAGCGAGGAGGGCGGGGTAAAAGTTGAAACAATAAATAAAAAAATAAACAAACCCCCTGCACTTTGCAGGAGCATAGCTGAAAGATAGCCCTACAACATACCCGAAAGATGGTCATGCAGCCATTCCAACTTTCAGTGTTATAGACGGGATTCACACTAGATAACAGGGCAAGCCCTTTACGTCCCTGCTACATTGAATACACAGCCTTTTCTCACATGAAATAATAGATGGGTATGGAACTCCAATGCCAACTTTGTTTCACCTCCGTGCTAAGTCCAGGGAAACAGTGCTTGGATTCAGATGGCAAACTTAACCACGGTAAAGTTAAAATGTGCACAAATGAGGCCTATTACTGGGCTTGCACACATGACCTACTCTTTCTTCCATTTCTGTCCCCTCTTGCACAGGGTGCAATAAAGAAATCTCAGAAATGAACTCCAACTGCCCATGATACACAGGTTAACTGAGGATAATTCTTATGTTCTTTGTTTACTCACCTGTTATCTCCCACACTAACTGGGATTCTAAACAAGAATTTAATCCAGGTTTAGAATCTCATGCATAGTTTTGGGGGGGGGGAACTACCTTCGATTCACTGTTATCTAATTAGTATCTGATCGGGCTTACTTCATTGTACTTCATAGGCTGCATTTGGAGCACATTTTAACTTAACCATGGTAAGATTTGCTGACTAAAGGCAGCCTATATATTCATATTTGTATTTAAAATGCTGATTATAATCTATACTGCATGTTAGTCAGTCAGTCAAAACCTTTATTGGCGTAGATTGAAAAACAAAACATCACAAGAACATAAGAGAATCCAATGTTGGATCAGGCCAATGGCCCATCCAGTCCAACAGTCTGTCACACAGTGGCCAAAAATACCAGGTGCCATCAGGAGGTCCAGCAGTGGGGCCAGGACACTAGAAGCCCTCCCACTGTTGCCTCCCCAAGCACCAAGAATAAAATGCATCACTTGCCCCAGACTGAGAGTTCCTTTCTATACCTTGTGGCTAATAGCCGCTGATAGACCTCTGCTCCATATGTTTATCTAATTCCCTCTTGAAGCTGTCCATGCTTGTAGCTGCCACCACCTCCTGTGGCAGTGAATTCCATGTGTGAATCACTCTTTGGGTGAAGAAGTACTTCCTTTTATCTATTCTAACCCGACTGCTCAGTTTCATTGAATGCCCACGAGTTCTTGTATTGTGAGAAAGGGAGAAAAGTACTTCTTTCTCGACCTGTTCTATCCCATGCATAATCTTATAAACCTCGATCATGTCACCCCTCAGCCGTCGTTTCTCCAAGCTAAAGAACCCCAAGCGTTTTAACCTTTCTTCATAGGAAAAGTGTTCCAACTCTTTTATTATTCTAGTTGCCCTTTTCTGCACTTTTCCCAATGCTATATCCTTTTTGAGGTGTGGTGACCAGAACTGTACACAGTACTCCAAATGAGGTCACACCATTGATTTATACAGGGGCATCATGATACTGGCTGATTTATTTTCAATTCCCTTCCTAATAAATCCTTTTGGAGTGCCTCACAGTCCTCCCTGCTTTTCACAACACTTTTGTGTCATCTGCAAATTTAGCAGCTTACTCCCAGCTCCAAATCATTAATTAACAAGTAAAAAGCATCGGACCCAATAATGATCCTTGCGGTACCTCACTGCTTACCACCCTCCACTGAGAAAACTGTCCATTTATACTCTCTGTTTCCTATTAATTAGCCAGGTTTTGATCCACAAATGGACTTGTCCTTTTATCCCATAACCACTGAGCTTGCTTAGGAGCCTTTGATGAGGAGCTTTATCAAAAGCTTTTTGGAAGTCAAAGTAAACAACGTGTATTGGATCCCCTTGTCCACATGTTTGTTCACTCCCTCAAAGAACACTAACAGGTTAGTGAGACAAGATCTTCCCTTACAGAACCCATGCTGAGTCTTCCTCAATAGTTTTTGTTCATCAATGTGCCTACTAATTCTTTCCTTAATAACAGTTTCCACCAACTTACCTGGTACTGACATCAGACTGAGTATTGATCCCTATGGTACTCCACTGCTTACCACCCTCTGCTGAGAAAATTTCCCATCTATACTCACTCTCTGTTTCCTATTAGTTAGCCAGTTTTTGATCCACAAAAGGACTTGTCCTTTTACCCCGTTGACTATAGAGCCTCCTTAGGAGCCTTTGATGAGGATGTTTATCAAAAGCTTTCTGGAAGTCAAGGTGAACAACATCTATTGGGTCCCCCTTGTCCACATGTTTGTTCACTCCCTCAAAGAACACTAACAGGTTAGTGAGACAAGATCTTCCCTTAAAGAACACATGCTGAGTCTTCCTCAATAGTTTTTGTTCATCAATGTGCCTACTAATTCTTTCCTTAATAACAGTTTCTACCAACTTACCCGGTACTGACATCAGACTGACTGGCCTGTAATTTCCTGGATCTCTTCTGGAACTCTTTTTAAAGATGGGAGTGACATTAGCTACCTTCCAGTCCTCAGGAATGGAGGCAGATTTTAATTAAAGATAACATATTTTTGTCAGGAGATTTGAGTTCTTTCAGAACTCTTGGTTCTTTCAGAACGACAACAACATAGGAACCACAGATTTTAAATATTCAAAGACAGTCATCCCACCAGAGCTTTAATCTTATAGTCCCGAACCCTCATAGCAGTAGAGAAAAACCTCACCACTGCAAAGGTGATACGAGGGTGGTGATCTGATAGAAGGAGGGATACTAGTATCTCTTCTGGATCCTATTGATCAAAAGGGGGCTGATTAGGACATCCCATATTTTATCGTAGAATTCACAACTAAGTAAGATGTGGGTAATTGATTCTGTTTTCCTGCTACTACATAGACAGGTCCTTTCAGGGTAGGGGACCTTTGCAAATCTACCATAAAGGACCGCAGATGGTAAAGCGTCGAAACTTGCAAGCATAAAAGCTCATCTTAATGGTGGGGCTGTAAGCGGTAAAAAATAGTCAGTTATATAAGCCCATTCCTCGGTGTTATATTAAACTTCAGAGGGAAGGAAGTAATTATGGAACAGAGAGTTTGTTTTTCAATGTCAAGGATCCTTTGCCTCAATGTTCTAGATATTTGAGATTCACCTCACGTGAGCAGGGAGTCTAAGGGGATACCAATAGATTGTATTTTTCTCAGTTTTGAGGTTGACCAATTAGATGTAAATGAGTCTTACAGCAGCAGACAGACATAACTCTCAGGTTCTGTTCTAAAGTAAAGGCGTAACCAGAATTTTAAGGTCAATAACGAAGCTCTGGTCACTAGGAGGTGCTGTCCTGTCACATGGCTGCATAATTTACTCAGGCACTCCAAGGATATGCTGCAGAAACATTGCCTGGATCTGCTCAACCTGTTGATTACTGCATGTTTATAAAAGCAACATATAAATATACTGAAGAGCTCCCAGTTTACTTTGAATTACAATGATTCAGGAGTGTGGAACTTTTGTTTTTGTGAAGGCAGCCGTCTAACTCATGTGCCCTCATCCCTGAGAGAAAGGGCAACTTCTCTCACTTACACAAAAAAGTCACTTTCCCCGGCCAACTGGATTTTTGTTTTCTATCTTAATCTAATTAGAAATCACAAATTCTGTACTGGGATGTAAAAAAAAATACAGAAAAATCCCTGGAAAAAAATCACTGAAGGAGTTATTGAAGTCTGTCAGTAGATTTAGAAATCTGTGTGACATGCAAGCCAGAGACTGCAGCATAGCATGTGTTAGTCATGGTTTTAGTTTATTTACTGAATAGAACATGTAACACATTTTAGTCAGGGTTTTAGTTTATTCACTGAAGAAAACACATATATGGCAGTATGAATTCTTAGAAACATATTTAATCTAATTTACTTTTGGGTTTTGCTGCTTCTGCCAGGGGAAAAGCAGAGTGCTGCAGAACATCCAGGGTGTAGCTTCCTTGCAGATGAGGCAGTCAAGAAGGAGGCTCTGGATTGTGCAAGAAGCCCATCTCTTCATTTGCCTGAAGCCAAAGAATCGATTATTCTATCCTCTGGATCCTCAAACAGGTTGGTTGTCATAAAGTCCTTTTTCCTTCTTTTGTGTTCGGCCTCAAAGGACATGGGAACAAAAGTTTTTGACCAATCTCCCAGCCTAACAGGTCTTTACAGGGTTGTTGTGAGAAAAAACGTAATCCTGACAAGACAGAGATTCTCTGGGTTAGTAGAAAGGCTGAGCAGGGACTTGAGATCTCTCCGGTCTTGGATGGGCTTGTACTCCCTTGAAAAGCCATGTTCACAGTTTGGAAATGCTGTTTGACATGGCAGTCACCTTAGAAAACCTGTGGTGGCTCAGAATGCCTTTGCCCAGCTTCGACGGGTGCATCAGCTTCCATTGTTTCTATTCAGTCTGATCTAGCCACAGTGATCCATGCCTTAATTAGATCTTGACTGGACTACTACAATACACTTTGTTTGGGGCTACCCTTGAAGAGTGGTTGGAAGCTGCAGCTAGTGCAGAATGCTGAGGCTAGACTGCTGGTCGGGGCCAGCTATCAGGAGCATAGGACCCTAATACTACAGCAATTACACTGGCTATTGGTCCACTCCCAAGCCCAATTTAAGGTGTTGGTTTTCTCCTTTAACGCTCTACACGGATGGCTGTCTTGTGTTCTGCAAGAGGGAAAGGTGGCTGATAAATGTTTTAAATAAATATGTGATAGCATGTGTGGTGCTTTCGGTGAATAGACGTTAGACAAATGCTGAGATATAAGAGATAATTTGATCACATTGTTAGCATTCATCCTATTATGGCAAGTAGTCTGTGCAGGGAGATGGCTTAGTTTCCGGATTTTGAAAAACGGGCAAATATGTAAAACAGTGATACTCACTCAGTGGCTCAGGAGCCACATGTGGCTTTTTTACATGCCACTTGCGGCTGTTCTGAACCCTTTTCCCCAATGTGGCATTTGCCTCATGTTTCAGTAAAGTGGACAAGGCCCTTGCCCAATTGGGCTTGTAGTTAGCAGCTGGGTTTCCAGCCTTAAAAAACTGGAGGAATGGATAAGAGGCAAAAACAGACCTAAAGCCATTAAATGAGTTTGGCAGGTCTTTGGACCCAGGCCTGTGGTAGTAGATTTAAAGTGTTGGTCATCCTTACTCTTAATGCAGGGGTTTTTGGAAACTAGTTCACAGAATTTGGAATTGCAGATGCTCCTGCTCCTCTCCCAAGATGTCTTACTGCTTTAAAAGTTGTTTGTACAAGTTGCTTAACAAGGGGGCCATGACTTTTTCTAGGCTAAGCTGAAGGTTCAAGTTCTCACTGGTGTCACCACTGGTGAGGGAGAACTAGCAATGGAACAAGGAGATAAGCCATGAAACAGAAATGCAACAGAGCACTACTTTGCATGCAGCTTCTCCAGTTAAAAGGTTCAAGTGGTGGGTGATTTGAAAGAACTCTGCCTGAGACCCTGGAGAGCCACTGCTAGTCGGAGTAGACAGTACCGTGACCTGGATAGATCTCAGTATGGCAGCTTCATGTGCGCACGTTTTTGGAATGAGAATCCTGATAGTGTGACATGGTGCTAAAAGATGGATTTGTTAGTTGAAAGGCTTTGGTGTTTAATGTTTGCATGTTTTTCATGTTTTCACATTGCTCAACTCTTTCCTGGCAACTTTAGCTAGGGTCCTCATGTGCAAATGATTAGTTCATTCATGCTTCGTAGGTGACCTTTATTTGACTCTTCTTATATTTATTTTGAAGACAAAAACAATTAAGCAGATAGGTGCACGGGAATGTAAAGTATGTAAAATAATTTGAGGGAAAGCTTGGCAATGCTTCTTTCATTCTGAGAAAACAGCTTTTGAAAATGTAACTTTGCAACATGCTTTAGAGAACAGATGTTTCCCATTGTTTCAGTATCTCTGGTTTCCAGAATATGACTCCCTACATAGCCAACATAATATATACCATTGTTACTACAATTTTTAATGTTTGCTGTGAGTGAGAAGAAAATCTTCTTCTGGCTGTACCTGAAAAATCACACACACAGGCCATTCAGAGGCAAAATGGAATGGATTTGCAAACCTTCTTGCAGTGACAGCTTATTTTGATGATCATATTATTTATATATGCAGAATCATTATTATATTATTGCTTAAAGGGTCATATTAGTAGACAGCTGGATGGATGGACCAGGTACATTGCTTTGTTTTAAGGACTGGATCCCACAATCCTCTTGTGCAAGGATCACAGATCTTCCATGCTTTACCTGCCTTCTAATATTACCTTCTGACCCTGAGAAAGTTGACAGTAGAGGCAGGAAGAACAATTTCACTTCTTTCACCTGCTTAGCAAAGCCCTGTAAGTCCCGCATCATGGGAATTAGCTTTCCCACAGTTGGAAAGGTCTGGTGGGGGGAGAAGAGTAAGGGACGATCTGCATCCATCGGCATCTTATTCTTGGATTCTGATTGTATTTTATCTAAAAATATAACTATGCATTCAGTCATAATGTGATTTTTGAATGTCAATTAAGAACTGTTCTCTTTCAAAAATCTGTGTGAACGGTGATAAAATGATAAATATTGATCTCTCATTCATTGTGATTGTTTTTAATCATTTGTATTGCAATGCCTTAAATATTAATTCAATATATCCAACCCTTTGGTGGAATTGTAGTGTTTTTATTGTCCTCAAATTTAAACTTCTAAAAAACCTTTGCAAGCTGTTGAAGGTTCTCCTTCCTTTTCCCATATAAGCTGTATGGCTTTTGAGAAAAACACTTTATGAACAGCGGCACTTGTCCTCTACACATTTGCAGTTCTGTTGAAACTAAAACTTAAATGTTCATAATAGTAGTGGTGGAAATTAAGTTATTTCTACAAAAACATGCTAGGCTTGATTATGAAGTTTAAAAGACAAAAGAAAAGTAGCATGTATCCTACGTGACAATAGATTCAAAATCTAAAGGTGTCAGACCTTATCCTAAAAAAAAGAGTTCACAAAATCTGTAGGGTTTAGAACAGCAAGATTAATATCCATTAAAAGCTTTGTTATCCACACTTGATTATCATGAACACTCAGTTAACTGGCACTGCCCAGAGAGCGAGCTCCTCCCTCTCAGCCACAATACCCTTGCTTCTTAGGGCATGGGCTGCACTCCCACCTCTCCAGCTGGCCAGCTTGATGCCTTTTTGCCATTCTGGGCTTCCGAAAGTTGGCACTGCCAGCTCCCTTCAGCCTGTCTCATGCTGTTAAGAGCGAGCCCTGTTGGGGGAGTATGGGGCAGCTCCCCCACATGTCTGCCTGTTGCCTAGGATGGCTTCATTGATTGGAGGGAGGGGTCCTACCAAGCATGAGGGTGGTCTCTGTGGCAGTCCCAATGGGGCTGGGTTTGGTCGATGGAGATTCCTTGGGGCAGAACAGAAAGCTTGGTTATTTGGCACATTTGATTAACTGGTGACTGCTTTTCCCCATGAGTGCCAGATAACAAAGCTTATACTGTACCAAAGATCAGAATTAAAGCAGTATAAAGTAAAACAGGAAACTCCCACATAATGAGAATCTTTGCTGCATTGTGTCATTTTTGAAAAGCGTTATAAAGCCAGTCAAAAGGTCACCAGTCAACCACATATGAATTTAAATGCCAAGTGTCTTTCAAAGGAGCTAAGTTTTAAGATTCCCTTGAAAGGCCAGCACATAGGGGGACAGCACAATCTCAGAGGGAAGTAAATGGGGGGGGGGCAGTTGTAAAAAAAATGTGGTTGTTTGCCAGCATTACCTCTGAGAAGGCAGATTCCTGCAGCAGGGTTCTAGATGATAATATCTGGGCACATTCATCTAGATATTTGGATACTTTGGAACCTAAAGGCCTGTGAAGGTCAAAACCAGCTGGACTACGAAAAAGTGGAGGGGGGGAGCTACCCACCCCTTGAAAATGGCAAATAAGATTTAAAAGCATCAGAGGGGGCAGAAAGTGGTGGCATTTGAGCGGAAGGCTGGTTTCAATCAGTATAATGCCAGACTGTTAAGGCGGCAAAGTGAATAAGCTTCTAAAGACTTAAGCAAACAATATCTTATCGTGCTGAAAAGATGGCGGCGAAAGCGAAGATTCAACAAGGAACTGCCAGCTCAACACGTCCGGTTTCCAAACCGGAAGTGAACTTTGACTTTTCAGGCATGCTGGATACTGCATTGCGACCTCTGGTGGCATAGATGACTAACATCAGCAAGACCTTGGAGTCTTTACAAAAACAGCTAAAAGAATCCAATAAAAGAACAGAGGAAGTTGAAAACAAGACTAAAGCAATTGACCAAAGACTGAAACTTGTGGGAAAAGAAAAATCTTCAGATAAAACTCAACTTTTGCAGCTATAAATGGAAAAATCTTCATACGTGTTGAGATTTCAAGGTGTGCCAGAAGACAAATCCAAGAATCTGAAAGAAATCCTCAGTGAAGTGCTTGCACCAGTGACAGGCATCAAGGCGGAAGTACTACAAAGCGAAATGGATATGATCTATCGTCCATATTCAGAATTTATTAAGAAAAAAACATGCCTGGTGAAATATATGTCAGATTCTCTAAGAGATCTATAAGAGATGCAATATTGAAAGCAACATCTGGGACTATACTGAAAATTAAAGAAGAGGACATCAGAATATTGAAAGACATTCCATTTGAGATAAGGAAGAGGAGAAAACAATACAAGAATGTAACCACTTATTTACACGAAAATTCCACTACCTACGGATGGATACTACCTGAAGTCTTTATGTTCAACTGCAAAGGCAAAAAAAGAAAAGATTGACTCTTTTACTAAAGCGAAGCAGTTTTTGGAGAGATTTCAAGAACCCAAAAAAGATACAAAGAACACAGAGGAGGAAGAAGAAGGAGCACTGGACAGTCAGCATGGCTTGGAAAGCCACAAAACGTCTGTAGATGGCAGTTCAGAAATAGAATCTGAATCAGAATTGGGAGTGGCAGTACCCAAACCACCCCGGGACGATAAAAGCAAGAAGAGAGGAAAGAAAGGCAGAAAATAACTTAAACTTTAGAAGAAATGTTTATA